GACCTGCCTGACTGCCGGCATGTTGTGCCCGCTGCGTGCGAGCATGGCAACTTCGACCGTTCCTTACCGGCTGTCCGGCGACTCCTTCCGGCAACATCAACATGAATCAACATAACGTAATATGACTTGAATAAATACACCTAAATCACTTGGTGACCATGAATATAAAATTTTACGACCGATGAGACGCGAACGGTCGTGGCGTGCGCGACGTGCGCAGCCCATGGCCTCGACTGATTCTTTCGACCATTAACAAGTTCATTCGACAATTACGACGGAATCGAACTTAACATGATATATAAGAGCCATCAGGATATGAATTGTACTAAAGTTGCCGGACATAATTGATCATAGCTCGATGACTTACTTGTGCTTGCTCGTGTGTTCAGTGGTGCGCTAGCCTTCCCTCGGCTATGGTTAAATAAAAGCTATATTCTTTCAATAATTTCCTATCTTTTTCTTGAACATATGCTCTCTCTCTCTTACTCAATTTTTGCATGGGAAAAACGTGGGAAACTCACGGCAATTGCTACATAAATAAGTAAATTGGACGAAGGTGAAAATGTGTAGCAATTATGGTGATGCCACTTGCTTTAATCTCCATCTATGGTGGCATTTGGTTTGCCTAATCATTACCTAGGTGGCGTCCCAACAATGGGCTTAATCATTACATATGTGCTTAGTCATTATATGATAAAATGAGAACATGCCACATGAATTAAGCTACTAGGTGACAATGCATACAAGTTGTAATATTTTATTACCTTGAACACAATTCCTCACGGGAAAGTGAAGAACATAATGCTTTGATTACTAAGCATGATCATGACTCTCGGCCTTAATAATATGAATGACTAATGGCATAACATTGATACTTAGGCACATGAATATATATACTTGGAATACAATTAAGATTAAACTTGACCGAACTTATATAATTGCGGTCGGAACTTGACTTCGGATATTAATTCGAATATTATCTCGACTTAACCTTATTAATTCTAAACTCACTTTTATATAATTAAATTGGAATTAAATCTGAAAACTTATTCAGTTATTGAAATAATTAAACCGAATACTTTTCGACCAATAGTCGAACTTTAACTGAAACTCAATAACTGGCTTGAACT